GGCAGGTAGATTCTTTATCATTGAGCCACTTGGGAAGACCATTAGTTTGCTCGGGCTGTGGTAACAAACGACCACAAACTTGGTGGCTTAATGAAAATGTATTGTCTAGACATTCTGGAGGTCAGAACTCAAAAGAAAGACGTTGGTAAGACTGGTTCCTCCCAAGGGCAGTGCGGGAAGCCTTTCTCCCAGCTTACAGAAGGCTGTCTTCACATACACACGGCATTCCGTTATTCATCTGTCACATTTCCCTATTTTTCAAGGACTCAGCTCAACTAGGAGTAAGGCCCACTGTAATAAACTCATTATAACTTGATTATACCTATTAAGACTTTATCACCAAGTAAATTTGCCGGAGGAGCAGCGGCTGCATGGTGCAGGAGCAGCCAAGAGGAGATATCCCATGTCCAAGGTCAGGAGTAGCGGCTGTGCTTTGCTGGAGCAGTTGAGAAGAGAAACCCCACGTTAAATGTAAGAAAAACCCAAGTAAGACGGTAGACGCTGCGAGAGGGCATCAGAGGGCAGACAGACTGACACCACAATCACAGACAACTAGCCAATCTGATCTCACGGACCACAGCCTTGTCTAACTCAATGAAACCAAGCCATGCTGTGTGGGGTCACCCTAGACAGAAGGGTCATGGTGGAGAGGTCTGACAGAATGTGGTCCACTGGAGAAGGGAATGGAAAACTACTTCAGTATTCTTGCCTTGAGAACCCCATGAACAGTATGAGAAGGCAAAATGATAGGATACTGAAAGAGGAACTCCCCAGGTCGGTAGGTACCCAATATGCTACTGGAGATCAGTGGAGAAATAACTCCAGAAATAATGAAGGGATGGAGCTAAAGCTAAAACAATACCCAGTTGTGGATGGCACTGGTGATAGAAGCAAGGTCTGATGCTGTAAAGAGCAATATTGCATAGGAACCTGAAATGTTAGGTCCATGAATCAAGGAAAATTGGAAGTGGTCAAACAGGACATGGCAAGAGTGAACTTTGACATTTTAGGAATCAGCAAACTTAAATGGACTGGAATGGGTGAATTGAACTCAGATGACCACTCTATACTATTGTGGGCAGGAATCCCTTAGAAGAAATGGAGTAGCCATCATATTAAACAAGAGTCTGAAATGCAGTACTTGGATGCAATCTCAAAAACGACAAAATGATCTCTGTTCGTTTCCAAGGCAAACAATTCAATATCATGGTAATCCAAGCCTATGACCCAACCAGTAATGCTCAAGAAGCTGAAGTTGAACAGTTCTATGAAGACCTACAAGACCTTCTAGAACTAACACCCAAAAAATATTTCCTTTTCATTATAGGGGACTGGAATGCAAAAGTAGGAAGTCAAGAAACACCTGAAGTAACAGGCAAATTTGGCCTTGGAGTACAGAATGAAGCAGGGAAAAGGTTAACAGAGTTTTGCCAAGAGAATGCACTGGTCATGGCAAACACCCTCTTCCAACAACACAAGAGAAGACTCTACACATGGACATCACCAGATGGCCAACACTGAAATCAGATTGATTATATTATTTGCAGCCAAAGATGGAGAAACTCTATACAGTCAGCAAAAAGAAGACCGGGAGTTGACTGTGGCTCAGATCATGAACACCTTATTGCCAAATTCAGACTTAAATTGAAGAACATGGCGATAACCACTAGACCAATCAGGTATAATCTAAATCAAATCCCTCATGATTATGTGGTGGAAGTGAGAAATAGATTTAAGGGACTAGATCTGATAGACAGAGTGCCTGATGAATTATGGAAGGAGGTTTGTGACATTGTACAGGAGAGAGGGATCAAGACCATCCCCATGGAAAAGAAATGCAAAAAAGCAAGTGGCTATCTGAGGATGCTTTACAAATAACTTTGAATAGAACAGAAGCAAAAAGCAAAGGAGAAAAGGAAAGATATTCCCATGTGAATGCAGAGTTCCAAAGAATAGCCAGGAGAGATAAGAAAGCCTTCCTCAGTGATCAATGCAAAGAAATAGAGGAAAACAACAGAATGGGAAAGACTAGAGATCTCTTCAAGAAAATTAGAGTTACCAAGGGAACAAACATTTAATGCAAAGATGGGCTCAATAAAGGACAGAAATGGTATGAACCTAACAGAAGCAGAAGATATTAAGAAGAGCTGGCAAAAATACACAGAAGAACTGTACAAGAATGATCTTCAAGACCCAGATAATCACAATGGTGTGATCGCTCACCTAGAGCCAGACATCCTGGAATACAAAGACAAGTGGGCATTAGGAACCATCACTACAAAGAAAGTTAGTGTAGGTGATGGAATTCCAGTTGAGCTATTTCAAATCCTGAAAGATGGTGCTGTGAAAGTGCTGCACTCAATCTGCCAGCAAATTTGGAAAACTCAGCAGTGGCCACAGGACTGAAAAAGGTCCGTTTTCATTCCAATCCCAAAGAAAGGCAATGCCATAGAATGCTCAAACTACTGCACAATTGCACTCATCTCACACGCTAGTAGAGTAATGCTCAAAATTTTCCAAGTCAGGCTTCACCAATACATGAACTGTGAATTTCCAGATGTTCAAGCTGGATTTAGAAAAGGCAGAGGAACCAGAGATCATATTGCCAACATTCACTGGATCATCAAAAAAGCAAGAGAGTTCCAGAAAAAACATCTATCTGCTTTATTGACTATGCCAATGCCTTTGACTGTGTGGATCACAATAAACTGTGGAAAGTTCTAAAAGAGATATGAATACCAGACCACCTGACCTGCCTTTTGAGAAACCTGTATGTATGCAGGTCAGGAAGCAACAGTTAGAACTGGACATGTAACAACAGACTGGCTCCAAAAAAGAAAAAGGAGTACGCCAAGGCTGTATATTGTCACCCTGCTTATTTAACTTATATGCATAGTACATCATGAGAAATGCTGGTCTGGATGAAACACAAGCTGGAATCTAGATTGCTGGGAGAAATATCAATAACTTCATATATGCAGATGACACCACCCTTATGGCAGAAAGCAAAGAAGAACTAAAGAGCCTCTTGATGAAAGTGAAAGGGGAGAATGAAAAAGTTGGCTTAAAGCTCAACATTCAGAAAACTAAGATCATGGCATCTGGTCTCATCACTTCATGGCAAATAGATGGGAAAACAGTGGAAACAGTGGCTGACTTTATTTTGGGGAACTCCAAAATCACTGCAGATGGTGACTGCAGCCATGAAATTGAAAGACGCTTACTCCTTGGAAGGAAAGTTATGACCAACCTAGACAGCATATTAAAAAGCAGAGACCTTACTTTGCCAACAAAGGTATATCTACTCAAGGCTATGGTTTTTCCAGTAGTTGTGTATGGATGTGAGAGTTGGACTATAAAGAAAGCTGAGCACTGAAGTTTTGATCCTTTTGACCTGTTGTGTTGGAGTAGACTCTTGAGAGTCCCTTGGACTGCAAAGAGATCCAACCAGTCCATCCTAAAAGAGATCAGTCCTGGGTGTTCTTTGGAAGGACTGATCCTGAGGCTGAAACTCCAATACTTTGGCTACCTCATTGGAAAAGACCCTGATGCTGGGAATGATTGAGGGCAGGAGGAGAAGGGCACAACAGAGGATGAGATGTTTGGATGGCATCACCGACTCAATAGACATGAGTTTGGGTAGACTTCGGGAGTTGGTGGTGGACAGGGAGGCCTGGCGTGCTGTGGTTCATGGGATCGCAAAGAGTTGGAGATGGCTGAGTGACTGAACTAAACTGAAATTCACATTATGAGGTCCTAGGGGTTTGGTCTTCAACATATGAATTTTCAGGGCACACAGTTCAGCTCGTAACAGGGCCTTTTCCAATAAAGCTTGAGTAAGTTAGTGTAAGGGTTTCCCTGGGTTCTTTAGTGGTAAAGAACCCACCTGCCAATGCAGGAGACATAAGAGATGAGGGTTTGACCCTGGGTCTGCAAGATCCCCTGGAGGAGGGTATGGCAACCCACTCCAATATTCTTGCTTGGAGAATCCCATGGAGAGAGGAGCCTGGTGGGCTACAGTCCATAGGGTCACAAAGAGTCAGACACGATTTAAGTGACTTAGCACACATGCACACAAGTTAGTTTAAAAAGGAGTAAAACATTTAGGCAAATTAGGGTGAGGACAATGCAAAGCCTACCACATTCAGGACCTGTAGTCCTAAAGTAATGTAACAGAGCACACCTATTAGATGGTCCAGAAAAGTGCAAATCATGTCCCTAAAAGACCCATGCATGTTTTGCCTTTTCCCCAGGCACTACAGAAGGCACCACGTTTCTCATCTGTCTGTGTACCACAGAAAGGACTACAGATGGACTCACTGGTTTAAAACACAGGAGTTAATAGGACATCCTCAACATAAAAGAGTAAAGAATTTTTTTTAAAGTAGTGAAATTAAAATGTATTTATAGAAAAAGCTATAAGTTGGTAAATTACAAAATTTGATTATTAGTTTATTGAATTTTAGGCCATAAATGTATCATGGAGATCATATAAGCCAGAGATTACCAAACTGGGAGGTGCATCAAAATCACCTGGTGAGCTTTTTAAAATACACGGCTTCCCAATTCCCACCCTACATATCCTGAATAGGATTTTCACAAATGCATACTTTTTTAGAAATGCTCCAACTGATATTTTGCAGACTGCCTGATCCATATGCCTCGCTTTTAAGTTGAGGAAATTGAGATCATTATAACAAAATCACATAGCATAGGATATATTTAATTAAAAATGATCTAGTTCTGTTTATATATGACTCATTTCATTTTCATCAACAGAAAATCCAGAGATTAGTAGTAGAAATTACTTCAGGAATACTTTTGTTTGATATAATCAATGATGCAACTATTCTTATTTTTTTGGCAAGATAAGAGATATTTACTTCTCTTTAGTAACATTTTAAGGCCATCAATATTTAATGTTGGTAGATTACAAAAAAAATAATAAAATCTCATAAGGCAAAAAGAACAATTTACTGAAAGAAGTTTTAGAAACTTACAGATGATGTTCTGTCCACTTCACAACGGCTGCTCAGAATAAAACAGGCCTCAGCATCATCCATCCTAAATGCAGACAGAAAAGGAAAATAATCACACATTGACATATCTATGTGCCATCTGCAAAACAGAATTCCAACACCCAGTCCAGTGCATACAAAGTACAGATAAACTATGAACATCCTTAAGCTTAAATGAAAGTAGGATTTTTTGCAGATCATGCTTGTAGAAAAAATAATTGTTGATTTGGTTGTAGTTCATAATGACAGAAGTTAAAAAAAGTCAATTTTTATTTTCTCTTTTATCATTGTATATATTTTTTCATATATATATACTTCGTATAAGTTAAGGGAGTTTATAAGCCTTTGGTTTAGATGGATTCCTTTTTGACTGTAATGCATCAATAAAACTGAGAGGAAACAAAGCTATTTAGTATTCATAAGCCAAACTCTACTGTACATTTATATTTCCCAGAGATGAATCATCATCTTGTTCCAAACCCCTTCCCTTCATGCTAAAGTTCTATATTTCTTATACATAATAATAAACCACAAGTGTGCCTCAGTGCTTGGTAAGCAATGTTCTAAAAACATAAAATTGTATATTTTTAAAATGAGGAACTATTTGCCTTTCTGGTTCATTACAGTAGAAAAAAATTTTTCCTCCAACGTATTTTCCATGGATAAAAATGATAAAAGTCTATGGAATTAGACCAAATCAAACAGTTTTGGAAAAGTGTGAAGAAGTCATGTTTATTAAGACAATTGTATAACATTTTTTATACATCGTCTTCAACAAAGCAACTCAAACTCATGCAACTGACCTTTGGAAATGGTTTGGAGAATTTTACTCCTTGTCTTGCGTGGGAATTGTGTTGAAGAATGTGTTAGTTAACATTAAATCCCAAATTTCTACATGACATAGGATAAGAAATGAGCATAAAAATGGTACCATCTTTCTTAACTCAATTTTCTGAGAATTACCAGCCTGCTACCTCACTCATTCACACTCTCGTTTTTCATACCTATGGAGAAATGTTTCTGGTATATGTGACTGATTTGGCTAAGAAACAATCATTAATATTATTAATACTAAATGGAGTTGCGTTAATCCTGGTTCAGTCACGAAGTTGTATCCAACTCCTTGAGACTCCATGGACTGTAACCCACCAGGCTCCTCTGTCTATGGGATTTCCAGGCAAGAATACTGGAATGGGTTGCCATTTCCTATTCCAGAGGATCTTCCCAACCCAGGGGTTGAACCCACGACTCCTGCGTCTCCTGCATTGGGAGGTGGATTCTTCACCACTATGCTAACTGAGAAGTGCATTAATCCTAGGAATTATCTAGCTAAGATGCCAATAGCTAATCCTAATAGCTTAGATTAGTTGACTAGATAGTCAAAAGGCTTCATTTATCACTGAAATTCATATTGAACATAAAATGGGCATTACTCATCCTTATCGTATGAAGAACTTAACTCATTACAATAAATTAAGCATATTTATTATCTATACAGATGAATATAAAGATCCAAATTATATTACTGTTTAAGCAACTATTTCTTTGCAGTTCCTGAATAATGAGTATAGAGACCAGATTGTTAGCAAACACCTAACGCTGTGTTTTACTTGCAATACTGGGAGACTATGACTTACTCTAGAACTGTCATGCGTACAGTGACAGTATATATGAAGTATGCAATCCACTACAAATGCTGATACATTCTCAGAGAAGCTTAATTTTCCAATTATGTACAATTCATTATATTGTGCTAGTTTATACTTACTTTTTTGTTTCACAAGTTGTTAAGTCATTGAGAAAATTCTCAGCTAAATTGACCTGTTATATATAAATCTAACATAATGTTAGAGTTCCTGTTATGAGCTATCTAGTCAACTCTTGCAGGAATAAGCAGCAGACAGGAATTTGGGGATTCTTTTCTGTTCTTTTCCATCATCCACACACATCCACCACCATACACACACATACAACCATACAGAGAACATGCATAAAGAAACACAGAACATACACAAACATGGAGAACATGCACCAACACACACACCAACACACATACTCAAGCCATCTGGAAAGAATCAAAACAACAAAGAAAAAAACACATGCTATGAAATTCAAGGAAGAGACTTTTAAACCTAACAGAGTCTGTAGGACAACTCAAAGATAAACATGAAGATATATTTAAAAGCTACAAAACAAGAGAAAACATTGAGTGAAGCCACCTCCACTAAGGATCTCTTCTGGCTTCTGAAACTATGGAGGGTGTTTTGCAGAGGCCCTGATTCCTGGAGTCTACAGTCTAACCAACCACACTCTCACTTTGCTCCCACCCGGCAGTGACCCCCAAGATTGTGACAAAGCTACAAGACTATGTCATCTTTAATCCAGGTGGACTGGCAGCTGCACGAGAAGAAGACAGCAGGTACGACCTCTGTCAGCCTTCTGACTTCTCCAGTCCCCAAGGATTCTGTCATCTCAGACACCAGGGAACACAAGTGTTATCTGCCCAGTATATAATACAAACTCCTTAAAATCTAAACCCTGACTCACACTGCGTTGGCATCTCACATAGTGTTTAGCCCACGGTTTTTATTTGTCGAATAAAAACAGTATCCAGGGATTTGGAGACTACTCCTGCTGAATCTGGGTAACTCAGCTCATTTCCCAGCACCCTGAGATGATCACACCATACCACACTTCTCAATGTGTTGTGCGGACGTGGTCTGATAACCCTGCACTGAGAAAGAGGAGCAAATAAGCGGATTTTATATTTTTAGTCTTCCCATTTGACCAGCAATGGTACTAGAACAAAAGTTTGTATTCAAAACCACATCTTGCAGTACTGAAACTGCTAAAATTTGGAGGAGAGAAAAGATATGATAACACTACAGGATGGGAAATGGACATACTTACTTTGCTCTCAACAGATCCTGGTCTTTAAGGGCCGAACCTTGAAGGTAGATAACTCTTTGTGACCACATTGGAATCTGGAGGATCCTTCGGACCTGCACATCCATTTCAGTAGGACACAAAATCACCACATAATAATCCTACTCAAAACAAAGTGGGCAATGGGATAGAAACAATAATGCTTTGTTTTATACTAGATAGGTAAATAGAATATCTATGAACATTTTGAAATATGATAAAAGAGAAATGAACTCTTACTAATAAATCAAAGTTTGCATTTAAAACCTGGGCATATGTTAAATAACATGAAATGGTAATAAACATAACAGACAAACATACAAAATCTCATAAATCAGCATGTTCATCCTGACTTTTTTCAATTTACTTAGTACCAAGAAGAGAAGATAAATCAGTGCATACATTCAGCACTCATTTCAGCCTATGAAATTTTCAATTTTGACTTCAGGGTGTGAAAGTGTTAGTCACTCAGTCGTGTCCGACTCTGACGCCATGGATTGTAGCCCACTAGGCTCCCCTGTGCATGGAATTCTCCAGGCAAGAATGCTGAAGCGAGTTGCCATTCCCTTCTCCAGGGGATCTTCATGACCCAGGGATCGAACCCACGTCTCCTGCATTGCAGGCAGGTTTTTTACAGTCTGAGCCACCAGGGAACCTCCTTAGGATTTCAGATTGATTCTAAAAGATAAACTGCATACCAGCCAAAAGTGCTAAGGATCAACTCATACTTCAATCTTGTTACTTTTAATAAAAAGCTGTGGTGATGGTTTATATCATTTGGTAACATTATTATGAGTTGATAAAATTGAAAATATTCTGATGAATATCTGAATGGAAAAGGGTTCACAAAAATATTGGTAATACTGACAAAGTAAATTAAATTTGAAAGTTTGTGATCAAAATATTTCAAAACAATGGTTGTTTAGAGAAAGAGAAAATTATTCTCAGGGATAAAATGGTATAAAACAATTTATCTATAAGAATTCAAATTTTCTGGCAAACGTCCACCATTTTATCACTCTGTATCTAGTGGGAATTTTTGGGGTTTTAAGATTTATCCATATTGATATTAGACAAAATTAATTACTAGGGATCAAATTTTGGGTGGATTAAATTTTCTCCCAGATGGATTTTCTTTGTGGGTTGTAATAAGCATCTGAAATTATTTAATATGAGTAATTTAAAAAAAACATTAAATATGGAGTATCTCCAAAAATGCTAAATAATGTATGCAAAAACAAAATAATATATTATACAAGTTTCACTTATAAGTTAGATTTTTTAATCCCAAAAAGCAATATGTTAAAATTTCTCATTATTTAAGAGAGAGATAATTAGAAGTACTCAGTACTGTCTTGACTTCAGGATTGTCCAATCTCTTAACAGAAGTTTACTGGGGAGATACAGAAAATTCAAGTAGTTCTTTTCTGTCTGGACTAGACTAAGTGCATTAAGCAACAAAGGAGGTGACCTAAGTCTACACTGGCCCAGAACCACGGCAAGTGGAAGAGTCTGCATAGACAGAAGAGATTTTTATGAATTCATGATCTCAATTACATATTGCCCAAATTTTGGTCATTTATTGCTACTATAGATAAGACCAAGTTTCACTCCAGGAAACAAAGGGTAGATTGGAACTTTTAGACTTCTAAATTTCCATTAGTAACACTTGATAAAATTCTGAAAATTCAAGTGAGCAGATGATATTGAAATGATTCTTTTATTGTTTTATTATATTTTAAGTTTCACTGTTTCATAAAAATATCATTTATTCACTACCAAAAGGAGAAAAAAGCAATCATTTTAATTCAGAGAAAACCCTTCTTTGTAGCAGTAATATAATTCCATCTGTCTTTCGTTATAGATACAGAAGGAAACTTAACATACTGTGTATTCCTCCAGCATTTTTTTCTATGTTCCAGGTTATATTTGTAGTTCTTCATTTTCTCTAAATTTGAGCATATAAATAAAAATCCTCCAGAACACAGGCTGTACTATCATTAATTGATTTTGCCAATGTTAGTAGGTATAATCTGTCAAAGTTACCTGGAGTCTTGGATGTGCGTAGAATTCATTTAAAAAGTCCATGAGTAAATCAATCTTCAGTGAGCTGACACATAGAACAACATGCTTTTCAGTTTGAGCTCTGTGCCGACTATAGTTTCCACCTGACTTTTGTCTCTCCATCCACAAATAGGCCAGCTGTTCAAACTGTAATGAATTTTCCACATGTGAATGAAAAGAATTGGACATGGAAATAAAAATCAGTGCAATCTATCTATTGTCTACTGGGTATAACTCAATTTCTTAGATGAAACTTTTTTAGATTGAAATGATCAGTGTTCCCTTCAACAAGACTCTTCATAGAATAATTGCAGACTTGCTAATCCCTCCCAAGGCCTTCATGTCTCTCAGGAAACAATAATGAGATTTTCCTATTGTATCATAACAGGGCACTAAGAGTCTGCACTTCTGCTTTCTGTCCAGTAGAGTATGCAGCCATATATATCATACACCTGGTTAAAGAAAAAGGTCTCACTTTTTTCTCTCATATTCTTCTGTCAACTTCAGCCCACATCGTCTGCAAGGGGAGATAACCTTACCACACACACAAGGCCACGTTCCAGTTATAATGCATGCATGCATGCTCAGTCATGTCCTTCTCTTTGCAACCCCATGGACGGTAGCCTGCCAGGCTTCTCTGTCCAAGGGGTTTTCCAGGCAAGAATATTGGAGTGAGTTGCCATCATCTTCTCCAGGGGATCTTCCAGACTCAGGGACTGAACTCATGTCTCCTGCATTGGCAGGCGGATTCTTTACCACTGAGCCACCAAAGAAGTAGCTGTTATTAAAGGGATGCTGAGAGTATGGGGGAGGGGTGTCATTGAGGATGACATGCATGATTGGATAGGAATGGAAAGATCATTTTTACATCTATGGAAAGGATATTTCAATAACTTCCTCAAATGGCTGTATAATAGAATATACATTTTGATTTGTGTTGGCCACATCCTGTTTATGACCTGCCCACCCATGGACAGCCAGAATTCATTATAGGAAAAAGTTGAAGGTTGCCTCTGTGTGTCTTCAGTCTCATTTATATCTCTGTGCCTTTGCTCCCTTATCCATTCTCCAAAATGCTTCATGTTAGCTACGTATCATCTTCAGATTTTGTTTTAGTTGACCAACATAGTCAATCGATTTTTATTCATGACAACATATGGCTTTTAATTGTAGTGTCAAGAATCAAAAGAAATCAATGTTTCATAAGTTTATTTTCTTGTACAAACATGCTATAATTAAAAACTATACTGTCCTACAATCCGGTAATTAATATAAATACTCTACATGTAAAAGAAAGCATCTTGAAAAACTGAAATGAAATGTGAGCTATCAATTGAGACTAGAAGGGAAAAAAAATTCATGTTTCTTAATATAATTTTAAAAGGCATTTTGGAGACAATTTTAATAACTGACTAGATGGTATAAGAACATGTGTTAATATAGTTAATAAGTCACCCTGCATTTCTGATTAAATGTGGAAGATTTGATTTCATAAGACTTTGCATGTTTCTATAAAATTTAACATGGTGGTGTTTACCTGGATAGGGAGAACCACAAGAGCAACACAGATCATGGCAACCACAAAAAGCTTGGACGACCACGTTTCTGGAGTGACATCCCCAAAGCCCACAGTAGAAAATGTCACGATGCAGAAATAAAGGGAGTCAAAGAGATTCAGCTTCTTTCCTATCCGTTCCAGATGTTGGATTCCACAGATGCTAAAAAAACAAAGGTGCGTTACAGTTAAAACTTTCAAAACAGCCACATTACTTCTCATCATTCTTCTGAAAGCCAAAGCACACTTCCTAAAGCCAGTTGGTAGCTGGGATTGTATATGGTTCAACACTGTTCTTCAAGAAAATATTTTTAAGTTTTTTCTTACATCGAAGAGAAATAGTCTTATTTTATTTGTAGCCAAAATTTATAGCCCCAAATCACAAAGCATGTTTGAATAGTATATAAAATGAATAGACGGAATTTCATGGGTGATTACACAAACATTTTTTGAATGCATGCCAAGGAAACATAGACACCAGAATCCACTAGATCTACTACCCATCAAAATAGCAATAGTCAATAGTCTTCTTTTTTAACAGAGACACATTTTTCAGTTATATATGTGTGGTATAGATATATGTGTATATATTTCATGTATGTGTGTTTCACAGTCACCCCTCTGTATCCCCAGGGGTTGGTTCCAGGTCCCCCCGGGGGTCACAGAAGGTATAATGACATAGTCATTCTAGTCACTTATATGACATAGTATTTGCATATAACTTATGCACATCCTCATGTATACTTTAAATTATCTCTAGATTACTTATAATACATAATACCATACAAATGTTATAAAATTTGTTGTAAATAATTTGCAAATGCTATGCAAATAGTTGCAAGTATGCAGCAATTTCAACTTTTGGTTTTTGGAATGTCCCAGAAATTTCTTCCCTAATATTTTCAATCTGTGATTGGTTGAATCCACAAATGTGGGAACTTCGAATACAGAGGGACCACTGTATACAAGAAAGGCTTGAGGAGTTAACACTGTAAGGTGACTCTCAAAAGGAGTCTTTAGGTACATCAATAATCTGTACAAAACTATTGGTGGTTTTAAAGTAAGGGAGAAGCTAGAAATGTTACAAGTTTTCCCAAAATAGAATTGCTAAAATAGCATTAGAAAGAGTACTGCTACTAGATAAAAAAAAAAAAAGGAGGCTATGAAACATGCATATACGTGCAATATCGGAGAGGAATGAGATTTACAACATAAAAAAATCACCAATAAAATAAGAAGGAATCTAGTACTGATGCATGTTAAAATATGATAAGTCATAGAAAGGTGCTGAGTGAAAGAAGTCACATGTAAAAGACTATATACTGTATAATTCTGTTTTCATGAAATGTTCAGAAAAGACACAGAAAGCATATTAATGGTTGCTTGGAAGTAATGGTGGGAATAAGATGATGAAAATGTTCTAAAACTAGACTTGTGGTGATGACTGTAGAAATTTGTAAATATATTAACATGGTTGTATTCTACACTTAACATGAATGAATTTTATGGCATGTAAATTATACCTCTCTAAAGCAGTCAAAGGAAATCACTGTATACTTCTAGATTTTCCTTCCAACTCCTATGCAGAACAAGCACAGATGGCTTGATTATGATGACCAAGAAGATGTGCTATTCAATGTTTAAACTACAGAAATTCTTTGTCCAGCCTTTTAAGATATCTTTACATTTTTATTCTTTACATTTCCAACAGTTTATACTCAGCCCATGAGCCAGAGTTGGCCTATGACAACATGGGTCAGGCCATGTTATTTCTCTACTTAAACCCCTGGAACAGGGGTTTAAACTAAACTCTAATGACCTTTCATTTGTCTCTAGCCTAGTCCTGCATCTGACCCCTCCCTGTGCCTTTCAGACTAGGTTTCTCTAGTTTTCCAGTGGTTTAACTAGTTTTCTCCCTGTGGTTTGCTCTGTCCAGCTACACTGGCATTCTTGCTTTCTGACCAACATGACAGGCATCACCCAGATTCAGGGTCTTGTCATGGACAACTCTCTCTGGCTGGAACATATTGCCCAGGTATTTCATGGATATTTCCTCATATCATTCAAGTCTTTACTTCTAACCTGACCATCATATATACTCCTTGTCTTTCTTACTGTGCTTCATTAAAAAAAAAAAAAATCGTTTTAGTCATTTGTTGGGTTTGATGCCAATTGTCCATAAACCTCTGTAAGAATGCAGTCTATTAGGGCAGAGTCATGTGCTTTCTTCACTCACCTTGCCTGAACACCTATATTAGTCCCAAGAACATAATGATGTTCACTAATAATTCCTGAATGAATGACAGTCTGAATGTAAAATATATTTCTTTAAATGAAATTTAAATGACCATTTAAATGACCAAGCTCTTTAGCCTGTTAAGATATAAACTAAGTACAATTCATTAAAGAAAAAGCACACAAATGTATTTATCTGACCATTGCCTTAATGGTGGAAGCTAATATAACTTAGGAGCAAGGCTAAACACATCTTTCTGAAAAGAATCAAGTGACTTTCCCACCACCTTTTGAAATATTCAAGTTCTTATAAACAAGTAAATTGGGTTTTATTCTACTCAGTAATTTACTTTTGCAACTTCAGCATTTGTTCAGTTAATACTGCTTAACATGATAAATACAAAATTTGGAAATTTGAAGTGCACTGACTTATTGAAACACATTCCGTTTGGGTAATATGCAAGCAAATTGCACAATTAAAAATTTATAAATTAAATTGGCTATACTTCATTATTTCTAATCAAAAGCTTTTCTTGAAATCCCATTCAGGTCACTGTTAGTGAACTTTGCATGCATTAATACTAAGTCAAGTCAATCAGGTTACTCATATAACCGTCATAATAACAAAAGTATCCAGCTTATCTTTTATAGAAGAAACAAATTACTCTCAAATATTAGAGAGAGATTTGCCTACAAAACACTGTAATCTTAACTTTGTTTTGGAATTCACTTTCACATTAAGTTCTGAAAATAGCTATTTCCCTTATGTTCTGTAATATTTATATAAAAAATCATATTATTTGAAGGGTAGAAATAGTTTAGAAGGGGATTTTGCAGAATTTGAGCTAACAATTTCAGAGTTAGGATCTTCATATTATTTAAGCAAAAGGTCTTTCAAATCTCTTCTAGAATTATCAAAATTAGATTTAAAAAGTACTTTGAAATTACTTGTTGCATGTTCTTATTTTACAAAAGTAAATACTAATACATGGGGAAGTTTAACAAAAAGGCAGGGGTCAGGAGCAAAGACAGTCTAATCACATTATATGGACACAGAATCACTGTCTGATACAAGCTCTAGAGCACCTATATGCAACATGTGGAGAATGTTAAGAGTATCTGACAACTTATTACATACTATTTTGGTTATAGGCAATGTTTTAAAGAAATATGAAAACTTATAATACTCTTCTATTACTTACTTCTCATTTTACTCTACAAACAAAAATATTTTTATATTCACATAGATTACTATCTAAACAATAATTCAACTACTTTTGTTGAGGGAATGAATGCAAAAGGGAACCTTCAGGACAGGTAGATACATAGACAGTTTACTGTTACTTTATTATATAATTCTTGATGTTAAGACAGTTTTTAAGCTTTGAAATACCCTTTTATTGCATTATGCATAAACATTAATATTTCACTTATATGTTAGCTCTTTTTCCTAGCACTGTGAATGCTACAATGTGCTACATAAGGATTTGAAGCTATTCAGTGACTATAATCCATTTTAATATAGATAGCTATCTTATTTCATTCACAGATGTCTTTTGAGCCATTATTAAATGAAAACTGCCTCTTCTCCCTCATCATAATTGATGAATTTCAGTTAATTATTATTTTGTGTGTGTACCCAGAAGTGATTTTAATGATGGGCTCAGATTTTGTGATAAAGTAAATCCAAGAATGTGCTTAAATATAGCACATTCATAATTGAAATATCCTATTTTGTCTCCTTATAAAAGAGATACATCTTTTCCATTAGTCAAAGCCTGAGTTAAACTACTTAAATTATGTCCTGAATTGAAAATAGAAGTAGGATAATCGTAGCTGGTGGATAATAGTAAACATTCATTTACTTTCAAATTTTCTAGTGATCAAATTTAATGCTTTGTGACTGGGCCTTAATATTTAAGACACTTAAAGACACTTAAGACATCTCACTTAAATGCTTGATTTTAGTGGATATCTAACTCTAACCAAATTTTTGTTTTTTATCCCATGCATACATGCTAAGTCTCTTCACTCATGTGGAACTCTTTGTGACCCTATAGCTTGTAGCCTGCCAGTCTCCTCTGTCTATGGGATTCTCCAAGAATACTGGAGTTGGTTGCCATGCTCTCTTCCGGGGGAATCATCCCAACCCAGGGATCGAACCCAGGTCTCCTGTATTGGCAGTCGGGTCCTTTACCACTAGGACAACCTGAGAAGCCCTTATTATCGCGTATTCCCTGCTGAAACATTTGAAATTAAATTAATTGCTCCAATTTAAGATTTAAAAATAAACCAATATCACATCATGTTCTATTTGCCTTTTTGTTTAGTTAATATGCATACAAGTTACTCAGATTCATTTGTACTGAGTGACTGAAATGGAAAGCTGCAAATGAATATAATTTTCTTACAATTTCTCTACTAAAAAAATACCTATCAATTTTTAATTTAAACATGATTTCTATAAAACCAGTTAAGTTCTATAACATTTTACTCAAATGTTTCATAATAGAAAAAAGGTGACCTATATTGTAAAAATAAGTCATGTTCATTCATAAATATATATTTATCGATGGTTTACTAGTGCCAGGTATGTGCTCTATGTTAGACATGCAGACCCATGACACCTTAGTCTACACAAAAAATGTTTCTAAAATCTAAAATGAATGGTTTGACCTCAACTTTATAACCCTATTACTACTGGCTATCATAAAGTAATAATCAAACATTTATTCATAACTTGATCAATACTAACTTAGGAAAACTACTTAAGCTTTTTAAATTTCATACTCCTCAACTAAAAATGCAGATGTAATATCAACTTCTTCCTTTGGATATTCCGAGAATTAAGTGAGCTAATGTTCTGTGAAATGCCTGACACATAAACTTCAATAAATTCATAAGTAATTCTGTTATTTATATGGCAGC